TCATTTAAAGAAGGAACTACACAAAACCCCAAAACCCCAAAACCCCAAAACCCCAAAAGTACAAATTTTCCATTTTTGTGTAAAAGTAAGGATCCCATATTAATTATACAAATTATTAATAAAAATAAGATTCCTCTAAGTACTATAAAACTATGCAAAAAGAAGATACTAGCGATAATATATTGGCTTACCCTTCATTTGGAAGCAATATTAACGCCAAGAACATTCAAGCAGTCGCTTCAAGCGATATAATGCATCATATCAATATTTTCGGTAAGTTTTATCCAAAATTGTGTAGTTACACTTTAAGAATTCTGTTCTTTATTTTATTCTGATCTCAAATTTCTAACACTTAAATTTTAGATCTTGGACTTTACAGAATAAAAAGTCACTGCCATTACGATCTTGGGTTGGCTAAAACTTCAGATTATTCCATATTCTAAGTTGAGATAGTCAATGAAGAAGTATAAAGATGGTTCTAAGGAAGATTCATTCTTGAAATCTGGAATAAGAGTGGCGAACGAATTTTCTAAAAGATACTAAGAGAAGAGATCACTCAATGGAAACTCTATAATAATACCTTCTTATTCAAAGGAGCAAGCTAATCACCAGTGATATACCTAATCTGGCTAAATGAAAAGAAAATGGCTGCAATTAAGCACCCTTATGAAGATAATAGAGGTAAATAACAACTTATTAATGATTTTAGAGATTGATATCATCTATCACGATAATATGCTTATTGTTGCTTAAGGCTTCAATTTCAGATTTTCTATAGTTGATTCAAAAGAAATAACCACCACCATTTCTCAATATCAGAATTCTGAGGAAAACTAACTGCCAATAGTCGAGAAGGATTTTTCAGGAATCATTCATAATGAAAGAATCTTCTAATTGATAAACAATCCAAATAAAAACGAAATCATTTTCATTTGTGTTGGAGACAACTTCTAACTTGTGTACTATAAACTTGTCTAGAATAAAACCTCTGAGAAGCGACAGATTTCTTTACAAGTAATAGAAACAGATTAGAATGTTTAGAAAAAGTTAAAAACAAGGATTGACAAGAAATAATAAAAACTGATTGAGAGCTTAGCTGATGTTTAATAGATCCAACTAATATTCAAAAATAATACTGCTTACTTGGTAGTTTTAAGGAAAAATTAAGTTTTTGAGCTAGTTGAAAACTTCCTCTAAACTGTTTATGTTGAATAAAGGCTTAACCTAGTTAAACTACTGCCTGCTTTTGGAGATAGAATAACTTTCCAATTTTCAGATAACTCAATCTAACAGTCACCATCCTTGGATAAAATTTCTGAGAAACTTTTCCTTACTGAGGATGAGTACTTCAAACAGCAGATTAGCATTCCTTAATCATCTCCTCTCTATGATATTCACAAAAATATTCACTTCTACCAAGACTCATTGATCATAAACGAGCAGCTTTTCTTGATAAGAGACAATTAAATATTTATTATCGATACGTTGAGTAAAGAAATTCTTTATAAGTTCTTCTAAAAACATAAGGTCCTAAGTCTTCACAAACTCAAGTCTCAAAGTGAGGATGAAAGAGGCTACAAGGTAACTCAATACAGAGTCATTTCTGTTCATTAAAATGGTACTTTATAAGCATTTATCCCAGACGATAATCATCAAGTTACTAAATGGTAGAGGCAAGAGATTAGCTAAACTAACATTGTTTAACAAAAAGAAAATGTAGTTTCAGCCTTTTAGAATTAGACTTCTCTTAGCAATCTGTACATTGTGTCTCAAACATCATCAGAAGGATTGAAAGTCTATCAAATGTAATTCAATAAGTAGATCATAGAGCTGAACCTTAAACTTAAAAAAGGAGATCACGTATTTACAGTTAATTCTATAAGCAGATAGAGAGACATGATTGGAGTTGTTGAAGCTAAATATCTCCAAATCTACAGAAATGATAAAGGAAATCTAATCAAGCTTTATTAGCTAAATCACACAAGATTTGAGTTTAGAGATTTAATCTGTAATCACAGTATGTACTATTTCTAAAAGGAATACATTCTTGTCATTACTAAGAAGACAGTTATCAAGATTAATGTTGCAACTAGTACCATTGAATAAAGCAACCTTAAAAATAGCGTAAAGTTCGGTGGAAACTGCTTGATTGATGCTTCTACATTCTATTTCTTAACAGAGGGTGATGAAGAGGGAACCTCAAAGTTAGCTATTGCAGAAACACAGTCAATTGAAGCTTCGTTCTAGGATCTATCTAAAGATGAGAAAAAGAGCGCAATTGCTGATTAGGAAAATTCCAAGAAAAATAATAGATTAATGTATCCCACCTGGAACTTTTCAAGTCCAATCAGAAGACTTGATTATGATGAATATAATGCTGTTATGAATCTGTAACTTACAAACTATGAAATAGTCCAAGTACCTCTCTTCCATAGAAATACAATGCACTTCATAGGAATGGCAGAGAGATCATTCTACCTTGCATTCAAGAAGCATCATGAGAGGCTCTACGCTCTTGACAAAAACAATTATTTGAACTGCTGGTCAATGGAAAACGGACAACATTTGTCAAAGCAATACGTAACAAGTGGTGATTACAGATATTATGAAAACGAAAAGGATTTATATGATAAGGATTGGTTCCCATTCACATTGATTTATAGACCTAACTAAGCCTCTCCAAACAGTGTTGAAGATGAAGGTGCTTAATAATATAGAACATATAAGGTTATTGATATTGATGAGAGAGGAAGTCTATTTGAATGGGTTACATTCGTGCATCCAGTTAACAAGTAAATGAAGACCCATCTTTATTTCAACACCGATCTTAATCTAATGATTGAATTACTAATCCCAAAGCATGGATCTGCTATCTACAACCTATATCAAATGGAAAATGTCAATACTCAAAAATGGAAGTTCATTAAGCAACTTAATCTTGAAAACAAAGATATTGAATGGCATCATAAGAGTCTATTCCCATATAATATCAATTAAAAGAACTTTGAGATCATCAATCAAGAAAGTATAAAGGACTACGACACTTACAAGTTCCTTGATAAGGAAAGAATTAAAATCCTGAATACATAAGATGGAATTGAAATGGTCTACAATCTACAGGATTAAAATATTGAAGGATACATGGCTCTTTAATACTCATTCACTAATACCAAGGAAAGCTTTTACGACAAGAAATGTGGACATTTTTACATATAAGAAGTTACTTCAAGACTCCAAAATTTCTATGAATAATTAAGAAGAAAGATTTATCTTAACAAAAAGACAAGATTCAGGCTCAGATCATTGGATGTTTCAGCTAGAGACTATAAATACAAGTATGTGATTGAGCAAAGTTATTCAAACTTGGATTATTAATACTACTAGTAATATATCCAAGGTAAAGAGAAAGCACTATTAAAAACTTTTAAATCCATGTCTAGCGACCAAATCCAAAGGTTAGTTCACAACATTTTTCCAGGTGGAAATAATACGATTCTTCATTACATTGCTGAATCTGATATTGGATTTGAATCGATCGATCATTTGACTCAGTTAGCTAAGAAAGAAGGATTCGTTGTTCCATTTTTGTTAAATCTAGAGCTTTTAACCCCACTAGACATAACTGTGAACAAAAAAGACTTTAAGTAAACTAACTCATTAGTAAAGATGCTTTCAAAGACACCATTAGATCATCACTCAAGACTCCTTAGTCATTTAGTACCAAAACTTATTGACATGAATCTACCTGCTCTCGATAAATACTTCGATCGCAGAAAGTTCCAAAGTGGAGTTTGCAAATCAATAACCCTTGGTAGAATAAAGATAGATGATGACAAGGATTTTAGAACTATCCCAACAACATTACTGAACGATAGCGCTGATTAAGTTAATTAAGCTTTAATGAATCCAAAGTCTAAAGAATAATCAATCAATCTTGAAATCCTTGATGTTCCTCTCCATTAATTCAAGGGAAATGACTATGGAAAGTAAGCATAAGTTGAGAATGCAGTGAATGATTACGAAATAAGACTGGTTAAGAGTCTTGCAAATACTGCAAACTAAGATCTTTTCTAATAGAAATCAGTAAGAGCTTTTATTGATTATATATGGCCTCATTCAAGACAGCTTATAATGAAGAACCTTTTCCTTCCATATTTAGCATTCATCCTCTACTATATGATTTATCTAGTTGTTTTGAAGAAGCTCAACATTACTCAAGAGAATGACCCAACATTCTTTAACTTCACTGCTGGAATGTTTACACTTTATGATATTATGTTCAAGATAATCTTATTCTTGGGATGCTTCTACTTTTTCTATCAAGACTTCCTCCAAATCAAAAGTTTCACTAACAACCCTGTTGTACTTTGGAGTTATGCTAACATTTTCCCACTCAGTTTGATGATCTTTATCATCGTATATGACTTGTTTATTGAATCTGCAAATCAAGAACTTGAGAAGACTTTCTATTCAGCTTCATCATTCTTTATTTGGATAAGAGTTATACACTTATTAAAATGTTTTGACCACACAGCCTTCTTGCTCAGAATGGGAGCTGGTATCCTTCATAGAATGAGATACTTGATTGCTTTTATTATTGTCTCCCTACTTGCTTTTGGATTCACTTTCTATTTCGTTTCAGAGTTTAATACTCCCAAGAATTCAGGACTATTCATTGCTGAAACACCTTATGACGGAATCGGATATATGTTCCAAGTACTACTAGGTCAATATGATACTGAGAACTTTAACAACGTTTATCTCTCAATCTTGCAAGTACTTGTGAGTTTCTTCAATGTTTTCTTTATTTTCACTTTGATCATTGCACTTTCAGCCTCATCATTCAGCAGAGATAGTGACATCAATAGCAATGAAGCCTACCAAGATAAGGCATCACTTATAGCTCTATACTCATACTTAATGGGTGAAGTTGCTATCAGAGAGCCAGCTAAGCAATATTTACTGCTTGCCACTGTGACTGAGGGTAAGAAAGGTAAGAAAGGATCATTTGGCTCAGCCGGATTTGGAGACTCAGCTGATATGAGAATGGTTCAAGCCAAGATGCTTAAGACCATGGACAGAAGACTGAACAATCTCACTAACAAGGTTGAAAAGACCTTAAAAGAAATCTCAGATAGACTGGATACTGTGACCCAGTAACAGAGGAATGACTGAGACCTAAGGTCTTAGACTTAACCAGTTTTAATCACAATTTATTACTTATTTCGAGATCTAACTAATTTCAAGATTTTAAATTCAAATTAATCTTAATTTCATTATTTTCACTATTTGCAATTTGAGGGGTTTTGGGGTTTTGGGGTTTTGGGG